ACCTTTAGCTACCAATCTAGATTTGAATCTAATTTTGTCTCTGCTTGGGATGCTTTCCTTCTTGGTGTAAACCCACTTACATCCAATTGCTTTCTTGCCTTTTAGAAGTTGCACCAACTCCTAAGTCTGGTTCTTGTAAAGTGACTTGATCTCTTCATTCATAGTCTTCTTTCACTTGACACTTTCTGCATTTTGCACGGCTTCTTTGAAAGTGCAAGGAACATTGTCTTCAATGATTAGAAGTGCATAGGCCACCATATCGATCATCCAACCGGGTTGCTTAGTAACCATTTTTCCTTTTCTCATTGCAATAGGTTCTGACTGTTGTGGGACCTCTTAAGTTGGATCATCATTCTCATCTGAACTCTCTTCAGAATCTTCTTCAAAGCTATCAACTGAAACTTCTTTAGGATTGTTAAGTATCTGAACAGTTTTTGCTGGAGTCTCAAACTTCACCTACACTAACTTCTTCAAGGCTTCTTCATTCTCTTGAGGATTTGGCTATTTCAACATTGTAAACTCATCAAAGGTAACATCTTTTCTAGTGACAACTTTCTTTGATTTAGGGCACCAAAGTCTGTATCCCTTGACACCGTCATTAAAGCCCAAGAAGAAAGCTTTTTTGGCTTTAGGATCCAACCTAGATTCTATAACATGAAAATAAGCTGGACATCTGAAGATACGTAGCTGATCATAATCAGTAACTAGTGCTTCTGACCATACCCCGTGGGAGTCTTGCCGTTTAGTGCTGCAGCAGGTAGTCTGTTGACAAGATGACGAGCATAGTTCAATGTCTCACCCCAAAATGCCTTGCTCAATCCTAAATGTGATAGCATACACCGAACTTTCTCCAACAAAGTGCGATTCATGCGTTCTGCAACTCTATTTTGCTGCGGCATTCTACGAACTATGAAATGTCTCACTATCACTTCACTTTGGCAAACCTCGAAGAAAGGATTTGATGTGTATTCGCTACCATTGTCGGATCTAAGCTTCTTGATTTTCTTGTCTGTCTGGGTTTCAATCATTTTCTCCATATAAGGAAGATTTATAATACCTCGTCTTTATGCCTTATTGTTTAAACCCAGACTCTCCTTGGGAAATCATCAATGAATAACACAAAGCAGTGTTTATCTCCTAAAGAAGCATTCTTGGAAGTAGGGTTGTTGTAACAACCCCAAACTGTGATTAGCTACTAATCCACAATTAAGAGTGCTTAATCAGTAATTAAGAATAAATCTTGAGTAAATTGCATGTGTTATATGATATTTGAGTTTCTATCTGTCTGTCGTAGAAATATCTCTCTATGTTTCTATTCTGTTCTACGAATTGAAGGCTTTATCGACACATGATTACGAAATTGACTTGGCTTATGTGTTATTTAGGCTTTTTAGAATTTTATGGTAGGTTTACTTGAAATTCGATTTGAACAAAGTAATTAGAATAAAATAATATTACTTTATTAGTCTTAAACTAACTTTAAGTAAGTCACTTAATTAGCCTATATAAGGCTTATACAACACCTTAGAGAGATATCATCTTCACCATTTGCGCATAAAAAATGTGAGAGAGAGGGAGATTAAGTGTTGAGCTTGGAAACCAAAGGAGTTGAAGGAGATTTGTAAAGAATTCAAGGTTTTGGACTTAGAGATTCAAACAATTAGCCAACTAGAGCTCAAGTGAGAAGCTAAGGTAAGAACTCAACCCTTAGTTATGTAATTGAGTTGGTTCATGCTAGAATTCAAGGGGATTAAGAGTTGAATCACAAAAATAAAGCTAAGATTGAAGCATTAAAACTCAAGCCATACATGCATGCATATTTCATGGCATTTTGAAATTGTTTTCCAAAGAATTTCCTCATGCATGTCAATATTTCACCTTGGTTTTGGAAATTCATCAAGTTCCATGTCATTTTATACCATTTGATCATGTTTTAGAAGGTTGGAGTTCATATCAATTCATGCATGTTATCTTCATGTTATGTTCTTTAAGTTATAAGTTTGATTTTGTACGATTGCCATGCTCTTGGGCTTTGATTTTGTGAAATGATTTTGAATTCACAATGTTTTACAAGTTTACATATGTTACCTCAAGTTTTGGGCCCAAAAATATGTGTTTTGAAGTCTTGAAATTGTGTTTGAACTTAGAACTGCAGTATAGAAATTCCAGAATTTGCAGCTTCCGCTCAAGCGGTGAAGTCGGTCCTAGTACTTTTACAAAGTTTGGGAGTTGGCTCGAGTGACTACCCTTATTTTTAACCCTCCGCTCGAGCGACCGAAGTTGCGCTCGAGCGTAAAATGAAAGCTTCCAGAAGTTGTACAGACTTTTACAGACCGCTCGAGTGACCGAAGTTGCGTTCGAGCAGAGACCCTTTTTACTCAGTCTTTGGCTCAATCGACCATTGAGTGCCCGTCGAGCAGAAAAATCATGCAACCAATACTTTTGCAGACTTTGCAGACTGCTTGAGCGACCAAAGTTGCGCTCGAGCAGACTACCTTGTGTTTTAAAAATTTGGATAACTGTTCCAAAGCACATCTTAACATCCTCATTGCATCCTAGGCATTCCTAAGCCCTAATTAAGGCATAATAATGAGGATAAGACCTAGAAACATACTAAGAATGAAACGTAATTAGTTAAGTTATTTACCGAGCATGTGTTTCAGTGTACATCCGTTATCTGTTTGTGTAGGTCATGCGCCGTAAGCTATTCGATCTATCTGCTCTGTCTGTCTGCTTCTGGAGCCATTTGTGAGTAATAACTCTATAAAACTATGTTTGATTATAAGTATTTTCTGACCAGAATGATATGATCAGTTTTCTAAAATGTTATGTCTTGTATAATGAATGATTGTCCAATTTCTGAAATGTATTTGTGGCATCCTTAGCATATCTGTTAACTGTTACCCGATATCGGAGGTTCCATTATGGAACTCAATATGTCTGCAATTTGTTACTCGTACCGCAGGCTCCATCATGGAGCTCAGCATGTCTATTCTCTGTTACCTAGATCCGGAGGTTCCTTTATGGAACTAGTTACTCATAACCACCATCTGTTCTGCATCTATTCTGTTAGCATTAATGGATGTACCGCGTGTGATTAAGGCCAAGTTTGGGAAGACTAAATAAGTGCACTTTTTGTCTTTTTGGACTAAAAAATTGAGATTGAAAATATGGATGTTTGGGTTAACTTTTTGACTTTTTATGGAAAAATGTGTAATAAAAAATTGTAAAAATTGGTTTGGAGAGGAAAATTTGAATTGGGAGTTGTGCAGCCGTAATTGTTGACTTTTGGTGAATAGTGTTAACTTTTTAACTTTTTGAGTAACTTTTTGACTTTTTGACTTATTTGGGACTTCCCAAACTTAGCCTAAGACATGTCAATTAATAAATAAAAAATTATATGAATCCACCTCATCAATTCATAATTTATTCAGAATATATTTGTATGGTGAAAATTAAATTATTAAAGTATAGAGTTCATGAGTAAAATGAATATGGACCATTTATTCATTTTTTGAATAAATTCTGATTTAATAAATTTAGATTTGTAGTGTTGTTGATTAATAAATTATGGATATTGTTAACATGTGTACTTAGGATACATTTTGGGATACATTTTGGGATCTACTAAAAAAGACAAAAAGTTAAAAAAAATTACTCAAAAAATTAAAAAGTTATCACTATTCATCTAAAAAAAATTAAAAAAATAATTTTTCACACATCAATTCACACAGCCGTACAACTCATCATCTTCACCCGTGAAGCTTGTGCTGTGTTTGAAAGGAAAAATTGCATAGTTTGGTGCAATTTTCACACACTGCTGTTCGGCTCATGGGAGCCATCACGGGTACCGTTTTGATAATCTGAACCGCATATTTCATGGCATTTTGAAATTGTTTTCCAAAGAATTTCCTCATGCATGTCAATATTTCACCTTGGTTTTGGAAATTCATCAAGTTCCATGTCATTTTATACCATTTGATCATGTTTTAGAAGGTTGGAGTTCATATCAATTCATGCATGTTATCTTCATGTTATGTTCTTTAAGTTATAAGTTTGATTTTGTACGATTGCCATGCTCTTGGGCTTTGATTTTGTGAAATGATTTTGAATTCACAATGTTTTACAAGTTTACATATGTTACCTCAAGTTTTGGGCCCAAAAATATGTGTTTTGAAGTCTTGAAATTGTGTTTGAACTTAGAACTGCAGTATAGAAATTCCAGAATTTGCAGCTTCCGCTCAAGCGGTGAAGTCGGTCCTAGTACTTTTACAAAGTTTGGGAGTTGGCTCGAGTGACTACCCTTATTTTTGACCCTCCGCTCGAGCGACCGAAGTTGCGCTCGAGCGTAAAATGAAAGCTTCCAGAAGTTGTACAGACTTTTGTAGACCGCTCGAGTGACCGAAGTTACGTTCGAGCGGAGACCCTTTTTACGCAGTCTTTGGCTCGAGCGACCATTGAGTGCCCGTCGAGCAGAAAAATCATGCAACCAGTACTTTTGCAGACTTTGCAGACCGCTCGAGCAACCAAAGTTGCGCTCGAGCGAACTACCTTGTGTTTTGAAAATTTCGATAAGTGTTCCAAAGCACACGTTAACATCCTCATTGCATCCTAGGCATTCCTAAGCCCTAATTAAGGCATAATAATGAGGATAAGACCTAGAAACATACTAAGAATGAAACATAATTAGTTAAGTTATTTACCGAGTGTGTGTTTCAGTGTACATCCGTTATCTGTTTGTGTAGGTCACGCGCCGTAAGCTATTCGATCTATCTGCTCTGTTTGTTTGCTTCTAGAGCCATCTGTGAGTAATAACTCTATAAAACTATGTTTGATTATAAGTATTTTCTGACCAGAATGATATGATCAGTTTTCTAAAATGTTATGTCTTGTATAATGAATGATTGTCCAATTTCTGAAATATATTTGTGGCATCCTTAGCATATCTGTTAGTTGTTACCCGATATCGGAGGTTCCATTATGGAACTTAATATGTCTGTAATTTGTTACTTGTACCGCAAGCTCCATCATGGAGCTCAGCATGTCTATTCTCTGTTACCCAGATCCGGAGGTTCCTTTATGGAACTAGTTACTCATAACCACTATCTGTTCTGTATCTGTTCTACATCTATTCTGTTAGCATTAATGGATGTACCGCGTGTGATTAAGCATGAACTCTGATTTCTGTATATGATTTAAATAAGAATGTGAATGCGAATCTCCTTCTGTTTCTGAGATAAACATGAATCTGCTTTCCAAATCTGATATGGGACATCATTCATTTAAGCCACTTTACTCTGTTATTATTCACTAGGCTCCACCTCACTGTATTATTTATGTATGTAGGTGATCAGATACGGGACCAGGCTCAATGATGATTGCTTGGAATTTTGTTTTGTCGACCAACCCTTATGCCTCCTGAGGAGGTTCTAAAAAAAGTCATATGGTCGAGTTTTGCGAATTAAGTTTAAAGCTCTGTTTTCTTTTTATCGAAATCTGAACAAGTTTCCATATATCTATATATTGGGCTAATCCCCAACTTCATTTATCTATATATGTGTGTGTGAAGCATAACTGATATAAATATGACGTTACGTATGTGCAAAGATAAAGTTTTTGATTCTTGTCCCATATATGTCTGCACAACACAATGGACTATGTATGTTTTATATATCTGCTTCTGCAGCCCCTTACTATGTGTTAATCTGTTTTGAGACCTTTGGTAATCCCAAGATTACTGGCCAGTTACAACGTCGAACCTATAGGGGCGGGTTTAGGTCGTGACAGTTGTGCAAAATATCGTCCAATCTATTAAAACCGCACCAATTCGTATCAATCTGCACCGCTCTATCCGTTAACCGTGGTTTAAACTTTAAAATTTATAAATCGCATTCGAAGCCGCTCCGCTTTGCTATAGTTAATACATATATATTTTTTAACCTGTAATGAAATATCAAAAAAAAATGAGTGTGAAATAAATTTAATATGTGAAATTTATTACAAATCAGTAGTTATATATATAAAAAATATTATGTAAAATAGTGTTATATATTATGCAAAGGCTTGATAATTGGTCAAAATATTCTTCAATCTACCAATCCGCCCAAAATCGCTCAAACCGCAATTTGTCAATCTATTAATCCGCTAATCCGCCATTCGGTTTATAATTTTACTCTTAAACCATCCGAACCGCACCATGCACACCTTTATTTGAAAGGACCCCATACGTCGGTGTGAATGTAGTCTAGAATCCCTTTGGTACGATGAATATCAGTACCAAACTTGATTCTTGTTTGCTTGCCCAGTACACAATGCTTTGCAGAACTTAAGCTTCCCTGTCTTGACGCCTTTCAACAAGCCTTGCTTTACCAACCCTTGTAAAGTCTTCTCATCGACATGCCCTAGGCGCATGTGCCAAAGTCTGGAAGTGTCTAATGCACCATCCACTAAACTGGTAGAGACAGCCACTCTCCATGTGACTGTAAAGCTGTTTAGAAAATATAAATTTCCCTTCCGAGTACCCTTCATTGCAACAAATGCTCCTCGTACAACTTTGACGACTCCACCTTCCACAGTTACTCTATAACCTTTGGAGTCTGAAACTCCCACTAAGATGAGATTCTTCGTCAAATCTAGCACACACCGAACATCTTCGAGAATTCTGATTGTTCCAGTATGCATCTTCAGTCGAATTGTTCCAATCCCTTTTGTCTGGCAAGCTTGGTCGTTGCCCATCAGCACAACTTCACCATTGAACTCTCGTAAGCTCGAGAACCACCGTTTGTTAGGACACATGTAGTAGGAACATCTAGAATCTAGAATCCATTTATCAGAATAGCCAAGTAATGAAACTGTGAAAACTGATCCTTTACCATTATCTCCATCTCGTGCAACGTTCACATTTTCCTCTTTCTTGTTTTTATTGTGACAATATTTTGACCAATGCCCCTTTTGGCGACAAGCAGCACACTTGTCTTTTGCAAGACGTCTTCTGTCTGATGATCTCATTTTGGATTTTGAGCGAGACTTTCCTCTGACTTTCTATGCCTTTGATACTGAGTCCCTGTTTGCAGACTTATCTTTCCTTCTGAACTCATTATTTACCAAGGCGTTTGAAATATCAACATACTTGATCTTTTCTGTACTATACAGTAAAGTGGTAGTGAGATGATCATATGTGTCAGGCAAGGAATTCAACAATAATTGTGATTTATCTTTATCATCGATTTGAACATCCAGGTTTTTCAAATCGGCAAGAATTTTGTTGAAATTGTTCAGGTATTCGTTTATCGAAATACATTTCTTGTAATCGAAACGAAACAACCTCTTCTTCTAGAAGAGCCGGTTCTCAATGCTCTTTGTCATGAACTTGTCTTCCAGCGCCTTCCAAAGCTCATTCGCAGTATCACATTTTGTAAAGACGTATTTCTCCTCCTTTGTAAGGCAAAGTCAGATGGAACTGTAAGCCAAGAGATTAACTTTCTTTCACTCAAACTCGTCCAAGCACTCTGGTTTGTCTTCCAGAATGAAATGCAGGTTCATCTAGACAAGTATGTCTTTAACTTCGCATTTCCACATGCCGAAGTTAGTGCTTCTATCAAACTTTTCTACATCGAACTTAGTATGGGACACCGGAGTCCAATGCCTAGAGCTACTTGTAGTAGCTGGGTTACTTGTGGACTCGGCTGATCTCGTCTCTGTAGATTCTGTCATTGAGACTTCTCAATAAAATCTCTACCATAAACAATTGCGGACGCTTGAAATGTTTAGAACACGACAACTTCTAAACTCTCCAAAACTTCTATGAAAGATCAGGTTCGAATCTCAAAAAACAGAATCCACGATTGCATCTGGAATGATTGATTTAGCTAAGAAAGTATTTTCTCCACCTCTCCAAGGACCTCAATAAAAGTTTCTACAAATTCAAGGGCCAAATTGCAATTTCTCAAAACTCTAGGGACCTTACTGTAATTTAATGTTTTAGGGGGCTAAATTGTAATTTCAGCAAGGTTAGGGGTGAAACGCAATTTTCCACACTTTTAGGAGCCTCACTGCAATTTTAGAAATTTCGACTGACTAGGATGATGACGTGTCGATGAGTTGGTGGTGACATGGCAGCTTCCAAAAATATTGAAAATTTGTTTGCCAAAGGTTTTGATCCCTCGGCCTTGAGGGTTTAAACCAAAAATTTTACCACTCTGCTAGGTATGAACTTCTGCCAGATTGTTTCACAAGTAATATTTAAAGCTTTCAGGTTTGGTGTCAGGCTACTATGCCGAACTGAACTTTCCGACAAGTCTCCGGCGAAACTCTAGCATGACGCGTGAGAGCACGTAAAATCTCCTCTTGGGTTGATCTTTCTGGGTCTAGACTTCTCTGGTCAAGACGTACGTCTTGGTAAGCTGAAAACTTGTTTTTGACAACTTTGAAATCTTCAATTTACAGAAAAACACTTTATTTTTCGCACAACAATGCTCTGATACCAATTTATTATGCCTAAGGGTCAGAAAACAATCACACAAAGATTTACATGTTTTGACAAATCGCCTACGTCCATGGGCAGCAGAATTTACTAAATTTGGAACAAAAAATTACACTCTCTTATTCTCTCTCTGCTCTCTATATTCTCTCTTTTACTCACACACTGAACTCCCTCCTACCTCTCCCTATTTATACACAAATATGAAGAAGTGTGAAAGCTTGGTTGGTGGGTTTGGCAAGTTTGGCACCCACCATTGTTGACTTCCTTGGCCAACCTTCCTTGAAGCTTTGATCTGAGCCAACTACTCCAACAGAGTAATATTTCCGTAGGAAAATTGTAAATTATTCAACTTAGTGAGTTAATTTTAATTAATTTAATAATTATTTTTTTTAAAAAAAAAACTCTGATCAGCGTTATCAATTGAACCAATTTTGCACAAAATTTAAATTAAATGTTAAAATCTGGATAGTTGAAATAATAGAAATCAAAATAACACAAAAAATAAAATATAGAAATCACTGATGTAATTTGTCCAAAAATAAATAAGAGAAGGAACATTCATATACGATTTTGAAGAACAAAAGTACAAGAGAGTACTTACCAATGGTTAGTTTTTGCACTCTCATGAAAATGCATCAACTCAACGTGATTTGGTATCCGACCAAGAACATCAGCGAATATTTCCTTCAACTTTGTAAAATCAGAGTCTCCAGAATCATATTTACAGTTTGTTATGAACCCAAATTTCGCCCGGTCTTTGATAATCATAATATGTTTGCTGGAGAAGTTTCCATGATTGAGTTTTTGTTGATGAATTTGACACAAACCCATTATAATATCACTGCAATACACGTGTTTAAAATAGTTAAAGCAAAAATTATCATGATGTACTCATTACATAAGATACAAAGTTTATAGTAAGACTTGCCGAATGATGAGTTGATAGTTTGGGGGAAGACGTGCTTCTGGATTGTCCAAACTAAACCCATGTGAATTCTTATACTCCTCTAAACTACACTCAATTTTTTCCACAGCAACCCAGATGCCCTCGTTCCTTTCAATGATGAAATGTGACCTAAGGAATCTCTCACCTTTGAGTCGTAACAAATTCTCGTGAACATTTATGGCGACTTTTAGATTTGCAAAGTACAAAAAGGAGGCCTCAACCTCAATTTTTTTTTCATTTTCGGTTGTTGGCAAGATGATCCAACCATGCTCAATAGATTTAAGGTCAGAAGGAGTCGTCTTAAAGCAGTATTGACCTTTAGGTACCTCACCTTCAATCTGGAAATTAATGAGGAAAAAAAATAAAATTTAAGTAAGAATAAATGCTCAAGACATAAAGTTTAATTCAAGATTCAGAAAGAAACAAAATTAACAAACCGGTTCTTGTTTATCTCCCATCGGTAACGCTCTCGTTAAAACACTACAGGCACAGAGTAAGCAAAGCACAAATGATAGTAAACTCTCATTATCAGAGGGATCAACCAAAATTAGGGACTTTTATATGTAAATATTAATTTAAATAGAGGTGTTAAAAAATTTGTTGCACAACCTATTTCTTAAAAATGTTTGGTTTATTTCAAATTGTCATCTCAATTTGGAAGAGTGTTTGGGCTTGATATGTTTATTTTGGGACCAATTTCGATGATCCGAACTGTTACTTTTTAAAACTCGTTGAATAGAATATTCATGCAAAAAAATTAAGATGATTGGATATTAGCACCTACATGTTTGAATCATATTTGTTTTACGAAAAAATGAACAACAAACATAATTTCAAGAATAGCGATACATTTTTTATAATACATATTTGATTTACAATAGTGTCATTTTTATTTTTATTTTTTAGATAAATCAAGATTAGATGTGTCTAAAAAAATAAAAAAGTTTAATTAAAATATGAAAAAAAGAAATCATTAAAAACAAACAAAAATCCTAACAAAAAATGCACAGATTTTTGTTTGAATTTTAAATATTTTTTAAAAATATTTAAGTTAATTTTTTTACTTTTTAAATGTATCTTAATTACGTGCATATAAAAGTACAAAAAATTAATTAAAAATAAATAAATAATTTATCTAAAAATAATTTTTAAAAAATCAAACCAAACCTAATTTTCTCCTTGAGGATGAATATCAGAGTGGTGCTGATAATGACCTTGATACGTAAAAGACATAAGAATCTTTCTGTCGTTGACTTTTTATAATATGAATAAGACTAATACTACTAAAAGTCTCAAATATTTTATTAAATATCTCATATAAATGTAAAATTCACATAAAATTCATATAATGTAGGTATGCTTAATAAAACATTTGGAATTCTTAATATTTTTCTATGACTAATGTTTGCGAACCCTAATTCAAGACTCCCAATAAATCCCTAATGACGTGGATAGGAGAAGACTCACGCTCCTCTCTCTCTCTCTCACATCCACCTTCCTTTCTCTCTCTTCTTCCCAAAGCTCCTTTCTCTCTCTTAGAACCCTCTTCACTCTCTTCTCTTTCCTATGCCAACCCCTACTGTCGGTACCATCCTCCGTCGCTAACGCTGCAGGTATCACTCTTCTTATCATAGAAATGGGTAGGAGTAAACCTCCTTAGTGATACGTGAAGTCATCCATAATTCGGTTGTCTCTTTGAACTTAGATCTTGGGATCTTCAGTCAATTAGGTTGGGTTGCCATTATGGCGACTTTTACGTAATAGGCTTTAATCTCATTTCCCTCGATAAATAGTACACTTGCTCTCTAGCTAGCCCTTTAGTCAATGGATCTGCAATATTCTCCTTTGACTTTACATATTCTATGGGAATTATTCTATGTGAGAGCAAATGCCTAACGGTATTATGTCTTCGACGAATGTGTCGAGACTTACCGTTATACATATGATTCTGTGCCCGTCCTATTGCTGCTTCAGTATCACAGTGAATGTATATTGCTGGCACAGGTTTAGGCCACATTGGAATGTCTTTTAAGAAATTACGAAGCCATTCTACTTCTTCTCCTATTTTATCTAATGCGATAAACTCAGATTTCATTATCGACCTTGCTATGCGTGTCTGCTTGGAGGATTTCCAAGAGACTGTAGCACCTCCTAGGGTAAAGACGTATCCACTAGTGGATTTTGAGTCTTTAATATCCAATATCCAATTTGCATCATTGTACCCCTCGAGTACTACTGGATATTTGGTATAATGTAAGGCATAATTCCAGGTGTGTCTTAAATACCTAAGTAACCTAATTATCACTTTCCATTGATCGGACCCTGGATTACTTGTGTACTTACTCAATTTGCTTACAGCATAGGCTATATCTAGCCTAGTGCAATTCATTAAGTACATCAAGCTTCCGATTATCTGAGAGTACTCTAATTGTGATATGCCTGCACCTGTATTTTTTGACAAATGAAGACTAATGCCAACAGGTGTTTTAGCAGGATGGTCGTCATGCTTTCCAAATTTTTCTAGAATCTTCTCAATATAATGAGACCGAGATAAAGCATATCATTCAGATGTTCTAGTAATTCTTATTCCTAGAATTACATTTGCTACTCCCAGATCTTTCATGTCAACTTTTTGTTCAACATTTTCTTTGTGGATTTAATAATGTCATTATTGTTTCTAATAATGAGCATGTCATCCATATAAAGGCAAACTATGACGTAGTCTTTGTCTGTGCTTTTAACATAGATGCATTTGTTACATTCGTTTATCTTAAAACCATCCGAAAGCATAGCGTGATCAAATTTTTCATACCATTGTTTCGGAGCTTGTTTTAATCCATAAAGGGATTTGATAAGTTTACAAACATTTTTCTCTTGGCCAAGAACTTGAAACCATTCCAGTTGTTCCATATAAATTTTTTCATCTAACTCGCCATTCAAAAAATTTGTTTTAACATCCATTTGATGTATTTCCAGATTATACAAAACTGTAATCGCAATCAACATGTGAATAGATATTATTCTTGTCACTGGTGAATAGGTGTCAAAATAATCAAGGCCTTCCTTCTACATATATCCCTTAACGACAAGCCTAGCCTTGTATTTATCTATTGAACCATTTGCTTTTATTTTTCTCTTGAATATCCACTCATATCCAAGAGGTTTACACCTTGGTGGAAGATCCACCAGTTCCCAAGTATGATTTTATAGTATTGATTCAATTTCACTATTCACAGCCTCTCTCCACAATGGAGTTTCAAGACTTGACATTGCTTCCTTGAAATTTTGAGGCTCATTTTCTAACACGTATATCAGAAAATCTGGACCAAATGATTTAGAGGTTTTAGCTCTCTTGCTACGTTTAGGTTCATCTGCTTTATTATTATTTTGGTCTTCACTGTTACCCATAGCAGTATCAAAAGTTCTTTTATTTGAACTTGGTCTCTTCGAGTTTCCCTTTGCAAGGAAAATGTGTTCAATAAAAACGCATGCACTTTTTTGAATCAATAATCGGTGTTTTACATGCAATATCCGATTTTTCAGATCTATGAATATAAATCGTATATCACTACTATTATTGCGATAACACACCAAGTAACAACACAATCAAGGCGGTCTTTTGGTCCTATCTTGAGTCGTTTTGGACTAGGGACTCAGTCACCTTGGCTAGAACACCTCATTGCCCAACAGTTTTAACGGTAATATGTTAGGTAGTTTGGTCGGGACTTTCCATAATTCATAAGAATGTTTTGGTTAAGTTTCTTGTAGGGTACCGCTGTTAAGGATAATTAGACAGACCAAATTTCCTCCTTTCAACACAGTTCTTGAGATACCTGAACTAATCAAACTGGCTTTATCATCTCTTTAAGAGTTCGATTCTTTCTCTCAGCAACTCCATCTTGACTGAGGAAGATAGGGTGCAATGGTTTAGTGAGATAATTAACATGTTTTAGTAACAACCCATAGTGGTGCAAGATACTCACCCACCTACTGTCACTGTCCTCAATTATTCTTGTAATAGTTTCTGATCCAAGTTGATATTTTCACCCTCTAAGTTTATATTGCTTAAAAAGCTTCCTAAGCGCTTCATCTTACCTCTAATTAAGTAAACATAGCAATATCGAGATCGCAATCATCATAATAAAATGTAATAAAATTACTACTTTTTAACTTCCTCGTACGTTTTGAACAAATTCTTAAATCACAGATATCTGTGTGAATTATATTAGAGATCAGTTACTCTATCTTTTATTTTGGGTTTTCAAATGACGCCTTAGTCGAGTTTGGATGATGGTTAGGTAATATTATTAGTAACACCTTAAAAAAATAAAATATAAATTTTTTAGTCTTTAGACTAAAAGTTATCACTCAATTTCAATAATCATTTTATTTTTTGTGTCCTCATTCACAAAAGTCTAAAAAGTCATCTACATCCAAACGAACCTTAAAATGTTTTAATTATTACCAAGCCCTCGGGAAATCATTAAGGCTATGGTTTGGGAATTGGGATAACTTTTTTCTTTTTGATTTTTTGTTGGTTATTTTAGTCCGGAAGCTAAAAAGGCCTGGTTTAGGAGGACTTTTACTTTTTTGAACTTGGCCTTTTGTTTGGCAAGGGCTTTTTAAGCCCATTTTAAGGCTAAAATTCTACAAAAAGACAAATACGGCTAAAATAGCTAATACAGACAAAATATCACATTAAACCATAAATCATTTTTACTTTTTTCTTCTCTACAAATACTTACATCCAACTAAAAAAAATCAAACAATCCTTCCCAAACACAAAAATTTGAGTCCCTATTAAAATAGTCAAAATAAAATAGCCTACGAGAAAATACCCAATTTCCCAGACAACGGACCATTTTTTGGACTTTTTGTGAGAGAAAAATATATAATGGATTAATGGGTTAAGATATGATGTTTTTGATCTTAATGGGTAGCGCTTAAGCCTATTTTTTTTTTGTAGCTATTTTAGCGGTCAACCGCACTTTCCTCAGGCAAATCTGGCCCTAGTCTCACAAATGGTTTGTATACAATCAAAAAATTTTAAAATTTTAATAATTAGTGACATTATGTAAAATTATTGTTAAATATTTAACAATTAGTAACTTTTTTAAAATTTTATCGGTACAAATTTAGTGACCTTTTTAAATTTTAAAGTTACAATTAGTGATGTTTTCTAATATTTGTCTTTGCTTAAAAGTTAACAATTAGGTTGACGTTTTTCTAAATAATGTCACTAAAAAGTTACACAATTATGATTTATTTTTAAATCTATGGCTATATTTACAATTATGTGACTTCTTACATCTGTTGCTAAAAGTTAACAAATTGTGCAGTTTTCCTAAATCTGTCTCTAAAGTTAACATAATGACGTTTTCTAAATCTGTCGCTAAAAGCTAATAATTAGTGATTTTTTTTTAAAACAATTGTTCTATACAAATATTTCAAAACTATGCTCTGAAAACTTAATAATTAATGACACTTTTTTACAATAAAGAGATAAAAATACTAAAAAAAAATAGAAATTTGTAGTTAACATTATTAAAAGTGTATAGGACTTTTTAGTGCAAAAAAAAATCTAAGAGGGAATTATGGTTTGTGATCCCAACTGCT